ATATTACCGGTTGAAATCAGGACGAGCTCGCACCCGTTAAACAGCGTCCACGAAGGCGTGGCCTGAAGAACCATTGGTGGAAACTCTACAGTAAATGTCGTGTGAAAATGCGGCCACACGCCCGACGCGGGCTTAATTAAAAAGGTTGCAGTCTATCCCCCGTCCTAATTCAATAATCCGCTTTTGTCTTTCCTTTCCCACTTCTTCCCCCGTTTAATAACAATACATTTTTTCGCTATCAACCAGCGCTTCTTCTTCCCCCGTAGCCTATATATATTCCGGATTACTGTTATACCGCTACAAATGTATAATAAATGCCTTATTTATTCGGCTAGGAATTCGGGAAGGTGCTAGACAATAGAAGGAAGATATATATATAAAACCCGTGTCCGAGCGGGCCGTACACTCCCGTTATTATTATGAGCCTGTAAATAAATCGTCTCTTCTATCACATCCGACCATTTGCCAGATTATATGGCGTATTTTAGGGCAGCGGGCTTGATGAACGTTCCGACTGTCCTCGTTTTCGGGAAGCGTCCCGCGATACCAGCCCGAAGTGGGGGGTTGGGGTCCGAGCCAAGCCGGCGTCCAGGACCAATTAAGTCCACTAAATGAAAAGGTTCACCTCATATAAAAGGAACATTACGGAAACAAGGATTTAATCAGGGTAAGAGCCCGGCTTAATCGGCTTGCCAGGCCAAGTTAGCCGAGCGCCGACTGATTGCCACCAACGCTAAGCTTGCTGGCCGCTTGCCCGCCTCTAATGTCGCGTCCCATCTCTAGTTTCCTCCGATACTGACTGCTTAATTGATAAATGCCACGTGAAGCCGCTCTGCCTCCTTCTCCTACGTCATCGTTCGCCCATCCCCATAGGTATCCGCCGGATGCCCGTCTCACCTGAAACAATTAAGTTCGTTTAGCTCCGCCTACTCAAGAGACATTCGTCTTTCCCATTACAACGAAAAAAAAAAAAACAAACGAAGAACAAAAAGAAACTATTTATTTAAACATAATCTGTCTACCGGAGCGCCGCCGATAGCAGTTTTTTCTACTAATTATTCTTTTCGGTTCGTCTTTACGCAAGACGTAAAACAGAAAATTCGCTTTAGCGCTTGTAAGATACCGAAGGTTGTTGAAGTATCTTCTGATCGAATTATCGATTTTTCCTAAATTAGAAAGAATATCCCCGCGATACAAAATTAGAGTCATACATAACATTTGAATGACTGAATTAAGATTTCTAACACCTAGAATTTTCGATATTTCGATTCCATTAGTTAAGGACAACATTTAAATTAGAATTATTATCAAAACCTATAATACGTCTTATTTAAAAATATGTATTTTTCTAGTTACTGAACAAGAAAAATAATTAGAAAACCGTCGTTAAAGTTAGATTGCTATTGGAAAAACAATTAAATTACTATCAAATAGTTAATTATAGAGTTAATCATTCAAAATAAATGCTCTTTTGTCATGTAATAAATTTTGTAGCTGGCCTATTTACTTTTACTTTAATTTTCTCAACGTAACTGTCAGTTTGAAACTAGTTTAATAAATAAAATGAATACTGTACAGGAAAAATAAACAGGAACCTAAACTGGTTCTTTTTGAATTTTCTTTTATTTCTTTGTACCGAATCATTAAATAGAAATGCCACTTCCTTTATAAATAAAATCAGTAATTTTATTATTGTTAGCTTAAAAATGATAGAAACCGTATTTACATTAAATTTATTTAATAATTTATTTATTTTTATTATATTATTTAAAAAACGAATAAAATATTTAAAATACTTATTACACTTAAGTTATTTTTAGTAAATTAGACCCATTACGAAATGTAGGCCTAGTAATAAATTTTATACACTTTCTTTAATTTTTCTTGAAGTATTAACTAAAGTATTTACTTTTAATCTAACGATTATCTGGCTATTACTTAGCATTAATTTACGTGAGCGATTTGTATCTCGTCGTTACAACTTCGTTAATATTTCATCCCATCTACCTCTAAACTAAATTATCGATCGTTTTCTTTCGGGTATAAATTCGGGGAATATGAAAATAAATAATGTAAAAATAAGCCCGAAAAAAATATTCTTTCGTATTGTGCTGTACTGTACAAATGTAAACAGTTATTTCTTCGAGTTTTTAAAGATATTAAAGACAAAAAGAAATCTATTTTAAGATTGGGGATTATCTTTTTATTTTGTAGTTTATCAACCACGGCTCGATGAATCCTTAAAAATGAAAGCAGATTCTAAATCCAATAAGTGTTATTAGCCCTCTATTCTTTCACCATCAGTCAGTGTGAGCGATCACCCACTCCACTTATCTCTTCTCTGCTGCTCATCCTCCACTAACAACCATTCCCTTTTCGAACAGTTCAAAGATCAGACCTCAACTTTAATGCTTCTATCTACAGAATGAATATGACGCATAGCATGAACGATGCTACTTAGCCTAAGCTAAATCGCGCGAAGATGTCACGTGTATTTTAACCCTTTTTTAATATAAATTATGTTCTTATATAATTAAAAATGAAGAAGGAAGAAAAAAGATGAAAATTAAAATTAAGCATTCTTTAATTTTCCAAAAAACCAAATAAAAGAGAATTTTCTTGAATCAACACGAAGCGTTTTTGTATCAGCCATTTGCAACACTTGAATAAGAAAGACAATCAATCGCTTGCGGCATCCAAAAATAAACCAGTGGCACCTCAAACGTATAAATATTAAGATTATTGAGTTTAATTATGTAATATAATCCAGATTAATTTATAAAAATTAGAGTTCGCCAGCGATTCTTCGAGCGATAAGGTAATTAATGTCAATAGAAAAAAGTTTATAGATCATTTTGAAAGGTAAAAAAAAAAGTTCATTTTTTGTTGTTTGGAACACATTTAATACATTTCTTACAATTCTGTCAGAGACGAGGTATGGCATTACGACAATAAATTGTGGTAAAAGACAGAAATAATCGGAATGGCCAAAGAGACAATAAAGTGATTGCATAGGAGACAGAAACAAACTATTTAATATAAGAAATGGTCTCTTAACCTTCTTACACGAAAAATCTCTGATTTAAGATGACTTTGGACCCGGATAAAGTCGTTCTGATCGTAATAAGAAAAAACACCGTAAAGACGAAGTCACCACGCATTTTCCACAAGCGGATTTCCAAAATTTGTTTCGAATCGGACTTACAGGCGTCGAATCTTAAATTTAAATCACCTTTAAAGTTTTATGGCATTTTTTTCCTCCAAGACGGAAAGATTCAGTAATCAAAACTGACCTACATTTCCTCTCTTCAATGCCAAATCCGATACTTATTGTTTCGCCTGTCTTTTCCATTAATGTTTAGGCCTATACTTCGGGGCATTGCGTTTACTTTTTGAAATTGTTTCTTCTATTCTTATCATAAACTGCTCCTCGGCATTCTATAACATAAGTTAAATCATAAGTTATATCCTATAAGATTAGAGGGGCGATCGATTTTCGAACACGTACTGTATTGTACAGTACAGTACAGTGCATAGATGAATATCATTCGAATAGCATGCGCAATTATCATGTTTTGTTTAATTCTATAAAATAAAAATATAATTTAAGTTCTTAACTAGTTTGGAGCAAAAATTTGAGATTTTAAAGCAAATTTTCGATTAATTATGGGAAGATAAGAATGCTATTTGTTAGTAGAAACCATTGGTCCTTTACATGTGTTCCCGTTTACAGAGGCGAATGAGTCGAGTCATTTTTCAAGATCCAAAAATCTGGGAGGGCGGATTCCAGTCGGTTAGCCAAGGAGTTCGCCGGACCAATCGCCTGTCACAAATGGCCCTCGGTTGCGGCCGTGACGTCGGCGACATTAACGAAAAGGAGACGATAAAAAAGTATATTCCTCGTCGATTTTTACCCAAATTCGTAAACGCGTCAGAGAATAATTGTGTCTGTTTCGCTCCACAAACTTAATAACTTCTTTTCGTAAGGGCAGAACATCAATTCCGGTTGATGGATGCTCGACCGATTGACAGTTTTCGCAACTCCACTCGATTGGAGAGGAACTTCTCCACTTTGCTATACAATTACTTTGTTGCAGTTTTTACACTTTTCTCTCGTTTTTCGCCTCCCGACCACCCCGACTTTTCTTCTATCTACTCGAGTCCGATTGATTGGCTAGGTGGCGCCGGAGACGGTCCGCTCTCCCATTGGATAGCGTTTGTCACGCACCATACGTCGACAGAGCCGCCATTGGTCGATCCGACCAAAGACGATATTTCATCCTCCGCGGGTCATCCATCAGTCGGACGTATCCACCCGACACCGAACGGATGCGACGCGTATGTAGCGCCTTACACCCATCGGTCACCTTTGCCATCCCTCAGTTACAGTGCCCAGTCCATTGTAATTGAGTTCTTAATCGAGTTACCATTCCTCGATAAATTGGCATTAACACACAACCGATTACACTCCAGAACAATACAATTATCCTTCCAAATTCTTAAAAAAAACCGCTGTCTTTCGGAAACCGGAAGTAGCCAAGTTCAATGAAATTCGCTTTGGTTTGTTGGCAGAAACGTCATTTCCGATTTGGGTGCAAGAAGACGTCGTCTCTTTCTCTCCCTAATGTATTAAAACTTTTAATTTGTCAGTCGGGATGCGCTCGCGCGTCGCTATAGGAATGGCATCCAGCAGCCTCGTGCCAGTCGCGCTGCGGGATATATCAAGCCGAGTTAGAGCGACTATCCATCGGAAGTGCCGGTAATGAGATTAAGGTCTCGGGCTGCTGGACATTATCTATCGTCAACCATCGAATTACACACTGATCGACAAGCGATGGGCGCTGACAGGCCGCATATCGCCCTGCGCGTGGCTAATGACTGTCTCGTTCCTGACCGGACTAACGTCGCCTCCATGCTTCGACACCTTTATTTTCCTATTCTGCGCATTCTTCCGGGTGAGCCAAAGAGAAAAAGAATAGAAGATAAATGCAAATGCTTACCTGTACACGCGCTTCGGATAAACCCAACCGTTGCGACAGTTCTTCGCGCATAAAAGCGTCCGGGTAATGCGTCTCGTCGAATAATCTCTCCAATTCGTTTAATTGTTCCAGTGTGAAATTAGTCCTGGATCTCCTCTGTTTCACTTTGGGCTGATGCCCATTGTCACCTAAAGCACATTGCTCTTTTCTTTCTTCCTTCCTCGTTTCTGCCTCTTCTGATGTGGAAGTTTCTGCTTTGACTTCGGCTTGAGAATCGGAATCTGGAGTAGAAGCGGCGGCTGGAACTAGACTGGGAGAACTCGAACACACTGAAAAAACAAACACAAAATTTTTAAAGCATAATAAACTTCATTTATATTATTTCGTTATGTATACTACACATACAGTAGAATTAACTACAAATAAAACAGCTTTATCGACGATTCTAATCAAACTTTACGCAACTAAATCGAAAATTCTTACATAATTTTAAGGATTTAAATTTATACTCATAACAAACTTTTATAAACTTTTAGTTGACGGGATTTTAAGGTGAATTGTAAATTCTGCATAAAATCTCTTTTTTGTGTGTGTCTACACTTGAAATAATCCTACATTTATCATCGTGCATAACAATTTTCCTGAAAATGATAGTCTATTTTAACATTTCAATTTTAAGTTATTAAGTAATAAACATTTAAAATTATAATAATATACAAGAAGTTATAGTGTAAATACGAATTTTATTTCCATTTGTAAATATTGTATTAAATAATCTGAATGCCAATCTTAATTTAATCAACCTACATTTTTCTTTGAATTAAACTTAATTATAATTAAATTTAAGTTCGATTTTTAATGGAAAAAACAAATGTTATTAAAATTCTACTAAAAATAAATTATTATTAAGATAAAATACATTTCTGCTTGGAAAAAATTAGTCGAAACGCTTGATTACTTTTAAAAATAAAAAGAAATTAAATCGCGGTTTCTCAACGACTGTTTACTTTAATTTACAGAAGAGAAATGCAATTCGTACTAAATAATACATAATTGAATCGTAGGTTTTATTATTGATAACTGCAAAATTTTAGAACTAGATTTTCTGTAGATTTGACCGCTATTTTTAGGCGTATTCTTCGATTTCTTATTGAATAAATACTAATAATAGTTAGCTTAAAAGCGAGGTGCATACAAAGTGCCATGTTTGTTTTCTCGCGGAATGTATTCGGACTAATCAAATATTTATTTATAGTCAGATCCATAATTGTCGTCTTTATAACGCGTAAGAAAAGGGTAATATCTAGATGATCCTTATTGGTGTTTTGTGGGGTGAGAGGCAAAGAAGCATTCGTAATAGATTCTTATTAGATTACACTTCTTAAAATTGAAACCATTTATTTCCCAAGTTCGACGTCGAGAGATTCATCAATAATTCAAGCAGGAGAAAATTTTTGCTATTGCCGAGCCGAAAGACGATTCGTCCAGGTGAGATGCGCGTGTGAGCGTGGCGCGAGATCGCGCGTAAGTCAGTTAATGGATAGTCGCCAGGGTGGTAGACATTTTTCTGTCTCCCCGGGCCAGACAGAATAATTGCATTAGAAAATAAGAAGAGACGTGACATTCTTGGTCAGGCGGCCAATGGCGGGCGGAAGAGAGGCATCGTTTGTCATTGGAGGAGCTTAATTCGATTGGGAGACCAGATTCAACCTGGATTTTAGCGCAGCGATACCAAATCAGAAGTGACTAGAGATCGCAGGTGCGCTAACTACCATCAGGCGAAATGACTGTAATTTGCAATCTGGCTAAGCCGCTGCGAAAACTAATAAATCTGGTTACAATCGACTTTATATAGATAACCCCGCACAATGGCGGTTAGAAAAGGAGCGCAGAATAAGTAAAATTTGCGGCTACAGTTATTATCAGGTAGGAGCGAGATTATGCTCGGACCGAAACGATATTAGCGCCGTGTAGCAGTAGCCATTATCGAACAAGCGGCACTTGCTGCAGCGACTCTCGGGAGCAATAAAACTTGGTGATTTTGCAAATTTCCCGACCGCATCACGGAGTCGGGATACAGATGACAAATGATGGCGAGTAGCGAGAGATGCCCGCTAACCGACATTTTCTCTCGCCTTGCAGCCATCCTCGGCTGCAAAGCCGTAGCTGCAGTCATTCGGGCTGACCCGATGCGGCCTGTCACGTACGCCGACCTCTCACGTCTGTTGGCAAACTGCGAGTTGCACCAGTCGTTGTCCCGCCACGTGCCAACTCCCATAAATTACAACATGCCAGGGGCGCCAAAAATTTTATCCCGGAATTGGTGTAACATGCTCAAAGTTTGAAGGTTAATCGGATTAGATGCATACAATTTTGATGAGCCGCACTGAGATGGGTGATGCGGCTTAGGGGAAAACTGGGAAATGCCAAATGCGAGCGTGCGACTCCGAACTGGCTAGTACTGTACCTCTCGGATTCTGCGGCATTTCTAGTAAAGGTCGAGGTCCAAATGGCCAAAATTCTTTTTATGTTTCTTTAAATTTGCTAAAATGGCCGGCGCCTTCTAACTTCCGCCCTATCGGATTGACATTAAAGACCCATCGCGAGCTTCTCCATCAACTAGTTGATATCCCGTACCAACAGGGTGCTAAGAGAACGTCTTTATTTTTTCTTTCGTCTGCTTCGCACCGATTTTTGCACCAACGACACCTCCTAATTAATTTAAATGCTCGGCGTTTTGTTCTTTCACCTTAATTAACTTTATTAATTGCCCAACGAGTTAATTGGCCAAATCGCTAATTATAATTGCAAATGCTGAAGTGTAATAATCACGTAACACGGTTTGTTTGATTAGATTATTCTGTCCATCATCTTTTCAATAATAAATTAATTATATCTAAGCAATTACCGGTTCAAACTACAAAATTTCGAACATAATTTACACTCATTTAAAAATTTTAAAAAGAGAAATTACTAAACAAGCTGGCTAATTGCGCCAGCTTGAAGGAAAAAAACCCCAACCACCCGAGGGATTAAAACAGTTACGTTACAAAATGCAAATTACTTTAACTCTTCATAATTTCCAGCTAATTATTTTAAGTCTAGAAATAATTTTGTTGACGAATTTAAGACAGAAAAATGCCAAGCGCCATTAAATCTTCCGTCACGGCTCCAAGAGTTACTGTACTTTAATAAATTGCGCAAAATTATTGTCCGAGATTAGATTAACATTTATTAAAAATTTGCTATTTTGTCAACAAAACGGTTCTTCTTGCAATTCATCTGATTAGCTATCGCTGTCACGGGCAAAACACAGACTAAACGTGTCCTAATGGCACTAATTGATATAATTAGCAGTAAAAAGAAGAAGGATACAACCTGGAGCCACTACTAAAGAAATCAATGCGAGTGAGTCGCAGATTACTGCTAATTTCCACTCGTTAGATTCAATTAACTTTTCCTAATTAAAATGAAATGTTAATGAAGTTTAATGAAACGGCGAGAAATTAAAATCACGCTTTAATACAATTCTTTCGCTTTATATATACTCACGGTATATGCATAATGCAGAAAGTCTTCTTACTCTAAGCTATCCTTAGATGGCAAACTAATGATATAATTCGATGCCAACTCCAAATAAAATTAAATTAATAAACTATTTTCGTCTGGATGCCGCATTTTATTCTAAAATTTATTTGCTACTTTATTTTAAAACGGCGACCTTTTCCATCCACCATTTTTTTAAAAAACTGATGGTCGGGTTACTCCTAAATCGTATGCTTACTAAAGGTGTTTGGGTGCTAGAATATAATTTGCTGGGGCGTGAATAATTCGATTTAAAAATATGGTTTGATTTTAAAACGGGATGGCTGAAGTGTCACATCTTTGCTTTATCATATCTGTCATGTGCTCGTTGTGTTCATTGTGCCGGAATGATTTTTGGCACTCAGTTGTAGACCTATGAATGGAACGTCCCTGCCATATCGTTCCAATTTATTCGAGTTTGCAGATCTGTCACATTTAGATTTATGATGCAGTTTAAATAGAAACTGTCCGAATTATGCTTTTTTTCCCTGATTTCTGTGATAAATAACCTGCAACGTGAGAAATTTAATCTAAATTCAGCTTTTTCCTCCGTTATATTAACGTATGGAACACGTTTATCCGCTACTAGAATCTGTTATTGATAATTGTTCACGTTGATAAGCAAACATTTCGAATTTGTTCAATTATGCAAAGTTATGATTAAACAAATTGATATTTATTTCTTTATTACCGGGCAATTTTTCTGCAAGCTAAAATTATCCATTGCTTAATTTGACCCTTTTGATACGTGAGACCTAACACATCTGTATATAATCAAAACTTTAACAAACTACTCATGCGAGAATAAGAGACTTCCACGAAAAAAAAATTCACCTATAAATTAATTTATATATATGTATATATATTTAGAACTTTTTAAAATGTACGTTCAAATTTTTTTCCCTTTAAATTTAATTTTAGTTTGATATTTATTACATTTCCAACTCTAACTTAGCAGTATTAAAGTAGTTTTCAAATGTATTATGATAGATTGATGTTTGTGTCTACTGCAGTTTATTCTGGAATGTGAAATTTGCACAAGGCACACCTTTACGGATTTAATTTGTGCAATAAATCAAGACGAATGCCTGATGGATATCGGAAAATCGTGATATGTTAAGGTAAAATACGAGTTTTAAGATTTACGTTTCATTTTATTTGCAGAGAAATTGCTAAACATCTGTAAAGATTAAATCAAAATGCAGCCTAAGTTTCAAATTTTTTTATTTTTATTTTAAAATTTGTATTAATAAATTCGTTTTTATCACATTACTGATGTAACTAAGAAGAATTTTTGTCATGGATAAATATATTTAATCTCAAGACTCGTATGCATTAAAAATATATAGGACCTGCATGTAGGGCATAACAAATAATACAGTATATAGGGCCTATATTTATAATATAAATTTATATGGCAAAAAATTTTCGCCATAGAAACCTACGATTTCTGAAATTTTAAATTTTAATAAATTTTAATTTTGTATACCTAGCAGCGCAAATATCGTGAAATTTTGGGTGGTCGAAATACAGATTTTTCGTTTGTTGGCTGTAGATATTGTTTGTCTGATCTCTCACTTTCTCCTAATGGTGTAATAAACGTTGTTTTCGTTTTTCCAGTCTGTCTATATATCGAGAATAAGTAATAATTAATGCCATCATCTAGGTGACGAGAGAGGGATCGATAGACAATAACAAAATAGCAAACTTCCATTGGAACGATCTAATCCGACTTTCATAACTC